CCGTGAACAGTGACCTCCCTAGGGCCAGAGGTTAGGCTGATAGGCTGGTGAATTGTGGCATCCTCCTGTATCCTCTCGAAGGCGCTGAGCTGTGCATTGACCTCCTGAAGATGATCAGCCAAAGGCATGTCTCCGTAGGTGAACAGCTTTGCGTTGCTGGGGTGGTAGTGTTCAGCATGGAACTTGCGCAGCTGCTCGTAGGTCAAGTCGGTAATCTTTTGGGGATCACCGCCGGAGTTGTTGATGTCAGGGAAGATATGGTCCTGGAAACGAATGTAGAACAAGTAGCCAGCGTCGGACATCTGGCCCTTCATCTCGTTATAGACGACGCCCTTGAAGACAAGGTCACTTTCCTCGCCATTCGCCGCTTGAGGGTTCTCGGGCCCAATACGCCAGCCCTCCTGAGTGTAGTCGGACTCCTTCAACAGAGGATGCAAAGTTGCATCCATGTATACCGACATCAGGTTCTTGAAGTCCTGCGCGTTCGTCGTCGCAAAGGGGTAAAATGTGTGATCGGATGCTGTGAAGGCGTTCATGAAGTTGGACAGGGTGCGAGGCAGCATCTTGAAGAATGGGTCACGAATGGGATACCTAATCATGTTAGCGAAAGAGCTTCCCATGGCACGGAGAGCTTACCTCTGGCTGCCGCACAAGGTGGTGTGCTCCAAGATATGGGGCACACCAGTGTCGTCAGGGGGGTTGGTCTTGAAGCCGATGGAAAAGACATTGTTGCTGTCGTCGCGGGCAATGTGCAGGTAATCAGCGCCGGTCTTGTCGTGCTGGAGGTGAAGTGCCGTCAACTCCAGTTCGGGCACATGCTTGGTGCGCACGAGGGTGAAGCCGTGAAGCTTGTCACCAGGCTTGGGGTACTGGGAAAGCTCAGTGACGGCCTTCTTGGCCGTGTTGACGGCGTTGCGCAACATCTCTGTCGTCGTCGTACAGGCCGGATACTCGAAGGAAACCGTCCTATCCGGAAGAGAGTCACAGAGCTGACAAGACGATACAGAAACGAACGTCTGCGCGCGTGGACCGGGCCTAGTAATACTCGTTCTATTGTGGACCGGGAGGCGATTCGCAGGTGCTCCGGGCCTGCCACTGCTGTGGAATTTTTTTGGCCAATAGGTACCCAGGCACTAAGCGTCATCGTTGTGGGGTCGATATGCATCAAACCATCCTTAACGCAATTATCCGGTCTTCTCCATCGGCGTCTCATTCTCCTCCCTTCCACGGTGTACGGCAATCGCGAAACCCGGGCCATTGGTGTCGACGACATTTCAACCAGATATCGTCACTGGAGATCAACAGTATTCTCTTGAGCATTCTACCTACCTGCAGAAACTTTAGGCAACAGACCGCAGCCTGCTTATATCTATCTATGTAAGGCAAAACGACGAGCTGCGGGGAAGACTAGACTCTATAAGAGGGAAACGGCCCACGCACAAACCACACGCACTTCTCTGTTGGGGTATGCAGTCGAGGGGCCCTGCAGCACTACTCCTCCACCCGTTTTCTCGAGTACAGTGGCATTTCTAATGCGCACGCCTGAACACCAGGACCCAGCCGCAGGCCACGCCACTACCTAGGTCCGTATCGTTCTAGCCAGTCATCCCGTCCAACGCCCAAAATTCTGCGAAGGGGCTCAATGAAGGCATCGACACCCACTGGCAGCACGTAACATAACGTACCGCCGTTTTATTACTGTAGCCAGTCCGCCGAGGGGGAAGAAGAACTTGGGCCAACTTTGCACCCGCTTATTTTTGCGACGCCGACTCCGACCCGCACCCGCAACCGCACCCGCTCGATCGATCGAACACGAATGCGAAGACCAGGTCTTCGTCACGACCAGCCCGCCCAGAACGACGACACAACTGCCCCTCTCCTGCTTACCGAGGCATGCCCAGCCAGGCAGACGCCGCCATGTCCAACGGTCAAGACGCCCATGGTCACGCGCCCGCTGCGGGCTTGAAGAAGGGGAAGCAAAAAAAGGCGGTTGATTCCAACGAGTCTGCAAAACTGCTCGCACAGCGTATCTCACAGCTGGAGCAGGAATCTGCTGGGGAGAAGGACCAAGAAGCTGAGATTGGTGCGTAACACCTCCCACTCGTTGTTTTCCCATGCCGGACGGACCGGGCCATGTATGTCGCGTGAGAGTCAGCCTCACAGCACCCCTCTCGAGCCCCAATCTGCGAGGAAGTGCGGGCTGGTGCCAAGCATGCGCCGACTGCTATTCTTCGAGAACGATACGGTCCTTCCCCATCTTCTTGTAGAGTCGCATGCTCGTTTCCGGGTGTACATCAATCAGCTGGCATTGTATCGATAGCTGACTTTCGGCATGCAGAACGAGAGGTGAAGCGCGCAAATCGTGACCTGGCTCAACAAGTGGCGAAGATGGGAGATATGCAAAAGATTGACCATCTTACCCGGAGGTCTAGCGAACTGTTAGCGGAAATGCGGCGCGTAGAACGAGAGAATCAGAAGAACAAGAAGCGGGGTGACACTCTGCAAAAGGAAAAGGATGCGAATCGAACCGAACTCAGCAAGACCGTTGGCCTGAAGGAAAAGCTCGAGAAACTCTGTCGTGAGCTGCAACGGGACAACAACAAGTACAAGGTCTGCAGCACCTCTCGTCAACGAGGCTGAGGAGGCTCACGCTGACCTTGTCCTAGAACGAGAATAAAACCCTTCAAGACAACTTGAAGCACAACAGCACGGCATACGACGAGAAGCATGCGGCCCTGCTGGCTAAGTTGGAAAACATTCAGGAAGAGAAGGATCATCCTCGGAAGCAGGTAGTCGACATGAGCGTCGATACCCTGTGAGTTATCGAAGATTTAGCCTGCGCTCGATTTTCCTGCTGACACTAGGGAGGTTTCGTAACCGCTTCAAATCGTTCATCGAGCAGTACGAGCTTCGAGAGCTGCACTTTCATTCCGCAATGCGCACGAAGGAGCTCGAGGTGCAATACAACATGGCTCGCTACGAGCGTGAGAAGAAACTTGCCGAAGCCGAGGCAACCAGGGCGCGGAATCTCCAGGCCCAGGTCCAAACTTTCACCAAGACGGAGACTGAGCTCCGAAACCAGCTCAATGTCTATGTTGACAAGTTTAAGCAGGTACGGGCATGTTTGGCTGGAATTCGTCGTACAAGCTTTCTTACTGACACATCAAGGTTGAGGACACGCTGAACAACAGCAATGACCTGTTTTTGACGTTTAGGAAGGAGATGGAGGATATGTCAAAGAAGACTAAGCGCTTGGAAAGAGAGAACGAGACGATGAAGCGCAAGCACGAGGCCACCAACGCTAACATTATTCGTATGGCGGAGGAGCGCGAGCAATTGTCTAAGAAAGCGATAGAAGCGACAAGCAGGGCGGAGAAGCTTAGGAGCATCATTGAACAGATGCAGCAGCAGGGTCGCAAGGTTCCACCAGGAATGGCAGCTACGTTGGAAAGCTGCTACTCTGACAGCAACGGCCACATGGACGGCGACGGAAGCGACTACTCAGACGAGGAGGAGGGCGAAGAAGACCCTAGCGAGTTCGACGACGACACGGAGGAGGAACCTCAGCCCGCAGAGCCGGAACCGCCCAGGCCGTTTGGCCCAGAGCGGCCGCCAGTACCTCAAGCTACAACGAACGGTCATTAGGAATCCGGACGGAGGAGGTCAGAGGACAGCACAACGGGAGACACTCTTTCGGACAGCGACCTTGTTCTCAAGGACTCAGAGGTACATGCGGACGGGCAGGTAGACCGCAAGGAGCCAGCCCGTTTCTCTACACGTTTTTGGCGCGCCTGTCGATCAAAGATCAGCATGCTTGTCTCATCCTTCTTCAGGAGTTAGGCACAGAGGCTGGTGTTGACACTTTGCTGGAGTGCGCCGAAAGGCCACAGCAGGCGCGGCGGTGAAGAAGTGTATCGCTGAATGATTTCAGAGATTGGGAGTTTTGTTTGAACTGGTGTACTCTTGTCATATCGCACCTTGTTCTGTCTATGCTGAGCGGTTCTGAATACAAGCGAAATCTCCACAAAAAGCCGTTCAAGTCTCTATTGGATTGAGTTTTGGCCCATCAAACTCTGCTGGTGTTGAAGTGAGAACCCACAGAAGAAAGTTGGCGCAACATCAGGTTACTTCATGTGTGCTGTTTGACTAGATGTCCGCACGTACGCAGTGAGTCCTTGCGAAGAGAAGGAAAACTGGGGTCTGAAATGTGCATTGAAAAATGCCAATTCTCATCAATCTGCGATGGGTGACGTCGAGTTCCAGGGGTCCTCGAAAGACTAAGCCACAGCTGGCCAACACCCCAACGGAAGCTTCGCAATTTCCCCGGATCCACCCAGCAACCATCCATGCCTGAAGTGAACCACAAGAGGTGCCCAAATGCCCGCTGATTTGATGCACCACTGTGAATCGGTGGCTGACCGGACCTCACGCTCTGAGGAGAGAGTGCCACTGTCAGTGTTCCGCACCCAGCCACTGGAAACTGCAAGTAAACCAAAACAAAACAGTGAGGTGAGATAAGCAGGGTGCGCGCACGTGCCATTCCCTCCCGTCGACACCTAATCTGAAGTCGACTAGCACCTTGCTGCACCCGCAACGCAACGCACTGCACACCCGCACCCGCACCCTGCTTGCGCACCCGTCCGTCCCACGCCTTGTACCGAAGCGACCTGGAGCCACCAAAGGGAGAAGGAAGCACTGCGGCCAGCGGAATGTTGGGCCCAACTTTTGACAGCTGAGATTGACTGCGTTTTGTTTTCGGCGCACTTGAAACCAACATTACTCGCCTTATCCACGTTCCATGGATCCCTTCGATCATTGATTGCCTTCTCCTCCACCCGTTGGATTTTATTTCGGACAACTTCCTTTCTCTACGTCGGTTCCAAACCTCGAGGCCTCGACGCTACAGAAACAGCCAAGCTCGGTCGAGGCCGCGGTCGCAAAACGCCTTTCCTTCTTATGCCCGCGACGTCATCTTCACACGCCCTGCAGCCATCAACATCATGGCGACGCATTTCCTCGAAGACCCGCGACTGCGCCAGCGCTGGAACCAGATCTCCCACAATGCTGGAGAGGTGACGGAGAATGCCGCCGCCGGTATTTGGAGTTTCCAGCATCACTACATCAATCCCTGCCTTGCCGCCCTCGCCAGCTCATTAGAACAGTGCGCCACTCCCTGTCTAGGCGATCGAGAAGAGCGGGCCAGACGCCGGCGAGAGCGAGATCGCGCGGGAGGACGGGCAGAATACAGTTTCGACTTTTATGACGACTGGTACGCTGAGGATCAGGATGGCGGCTTCCTGGGTGGTTGGAGCAATGATGACTGGGATCGCCTGCTCGCAGGCACAGGGTCCCAACGAAAGCACGCCGGCGGCGAGGTGCAAGACCAACCCAAAAGAAAGCGAGGAATGAGCTACGGTACACGAGGCAGAAGCACCAAAGTGTCGGAATCCGATCCAACAATCATCCCAAGTACACAGCCCATTGGCTTCTTGGGCAAGCTGCCGTGGAAGTTGGGCAAGACGCTCCGATACAAGCCCAGCGCGGCCGATCTGCAAGATCATCCCCGACAGCATGACGAGATGGGTATGGGCGAGGCCGAGCCTCTTCTTGGAAACGACGACTCAGACGACGACATCTATCAAAGTCGCTTTGCCAAGACTAGAAATCGGAGCGGGACGACAGGGTCGGGGGACACGTCGGACTCGTATCGGTCAAGGGGCGACCTGTTCCCCAGTGATGGCGAAGGGGAAGAGGATGCTGTGCCGTTGGATGACGAGTTCATGGTGTTGGACAAGGTCCGAGACGACCGAAGCAGCAGCAGAACGAAGGCCAGCAAGGGCAAGCGCCGTGCAGACGGGCGCCCGATATCGCGGACGGTTTCGAGAGCAACAATCGACTCGAACCACTCATTTCTCGGCCCAGGACCTCGAAGAGACTCAATCAGCATACCCGACACCCCAGATACGCCTCGTGCCCCGTCGATGGAGGATCTTCAGCGGGAGGAAGAGCGCATCCAGCGAGAAGAGGACGAAGAAGTTGAACGCAAGCGGCGTGCTGCATCGCAGCTTGCATCAGAACGCGGCCTGCATGATAGCGGGTCCGAAGTGGTTTCTTCTGAGGGCATCTCGGAGGTGAAAACCGTCGAAGTGGGATATGCGTCAGAGGCTCCGAGTCAGGAGGCGTCGCCACCCGAACCGACGGTCGAAATAACGAACAGTAACGAAGCGCCGGTAATCCGGACTACGACGCAAGCAGGACAGTTTATACCAACCGAGGAATTTGTTCCCGCACGGTTACCGAGCTTCAGGTAGCTCACAGACGGAAACGCATGGGGTCATGTTCATGGACGTCGAGATACAGTTCGATCCCAAGCGCTGATTTCCGCTGGTGTTTTAATAGTCGGTCCAGCCGACGATAGTCATGTCATTTACGATACCAACGTCCTTGCGGGATATGAGCATTTCAATAGAGGAGCATGATCATGGGAGTACAGTTTACGATTATTAATCGCCTCGCATCGTTGTGTTTTTTGAAGAAGCAATCATGCGGACTGGAGCCACACTTAAGCCCCATAGCCACACCGGATCCCAAGGCATCTGAGCCAGCAATCGGACTTCGGGGCTGTTTTCTAGAAGATGGCCAGCTCACATGCACCTGTGGCGTATGGTTTCATACCACTCGGAGCCGGGGCCTACTTGGGCGAGCTGCTGTCCCAAGAAGGCAATTGCCTCGGTGTGTTTCCCCGCAACAGAGCTCCAACCCCACACACTCACCTCCCGGTATGATTTCCCCGGATTACCTAGGTAGCTTGCTCTCCAACCGCAAATCAAGTGATGTATTGAAGTTCCAAATTCCTCGATCTTGCCTTCTTCTCGATTCATTTTTTACATTCCTTAATTTTCCTACACTAGACCATACCGTACTCAAATTAATCAGTACTTCTACACTTTGCTTGATCCTCTCTACATCTCATTTGCAGCAGATCAGGCTCACCCAGCTACACAAAACAAGATGGCACCTTCAGGCCCAATCACCACGCCCATAACCACCCTTCTAGGGATCAAGCATCCCATCCTCCTCGCCGGCATGGCGCGCACGTCCGGCGGGCCCCTCGCCGCCGCCGTCTCCAATGCGGGCGGTCTCGGCGTCATCGGCGGTTTCCAGTACACCCCGGACCAGCTGCGCGAGATCGTCGCCGAGATGAAGGAGAACTTCAAGTCTCCAGACCTCCCCTTCGGCGTCGACCTCGCTCTGCCGCAGGTTGGCGGCAACGCCCGCAAGACCAACCACGACTACACGGGCGGCAAGCTCGACGAGCTCATCGACATCACCATCGAGTCGGGCGCTCGCCTGTTCGTCAGCGCCGTCGGCGTGCCGCCCAAGCATGTCATTGACAAGCTGCACAACGCAGGCATCTACGTCATGAATATGGTCGGCCACCCGAAGCACGCTGTGAAGGCATTGGATCTGGGCGTCGATATCATCTGCGCGCAGGGCGGGGAGGGTGGTGGACACACGGGCGATGTGGCGAACTCGGTGCTCATCCCTGCCGTCGTGGACGTTGCGAGGAGGTACAAGCCCAAGATGCTTAATGGCGCCCCGGCGATGGTTGTTGCAGCGGGTGGTATTTACAATGGTCGATCACTTGCGAGCTCATTGATGCAGGGTGCTGTTGGCGTGTGGGTTGGCACGCGTTTTGTGGCATCCGTTGAGGCTGGGTGTAGTGAGGAGCACAAGGAAGAGGTCGTCAAGTGTGGGTTCGAGGGAACGGAACGCACTCTCGTACTCTCCGGAAGGCCATTGCGCATGAAGACGAACGAGTATATTCGCAAGTGGCATTCGCAGCCGGACCGAATCAGGCAGCTCTGCGATCAGGGTATCGTGCCTATCGAGTTCGACTTCAACGAGGGCAACGACGTTGATCCGCCACATTTGATGGGACAAGTGGCCGGCGCCATTGAGAAGATCCAGCCGGCGGGTGAGATCGTCGATGAGATGGTTAAGGAGGCGGTTGACATGTTGAAGCTTGGCGGCGCCTACTTGGGCAACGAGCGTAGCAGGCTATGAGATTAAGACTGTTGTGTATATTGTGTGATGATGAGTGTTCTATGAGAAGAGACGAAGATTGCAACAAAAGAAAAGGGGTATTGTGGTCGCTCTCAGTAAAAAGTACGCCTCCCTAGCTCGAACATGTTCCTCCGTTACTTGTCCTTTATACAAATTCTCCAACACGGACTTCAGTGCTTCCCCATCCTTGAGCCAGGTCTCTGAGCTCCCCCTCTATCCTGTCAACCTCCTCATCAGAGAATCCCAGCCGGCCTTGCGTGTCCTTTGGTGTACCCAGCAGGCGAATCTCAGGAAACGGTACCAGATCTGATCTCATCGCACCACCAAGAACAAGCGTGACGGAGTCCAGACCCGAGCGGTACCGGCACTTGAGCCATGAGGCAGGGTTCTGAAACGGCTCTTCGCAGACAACGACAACGTGTCTCGCTCCGCGGACGGGAAAGCCGCCGCCGCCTTTTCCCTCGACCACAGCGATGCTGTCGCGCTGGAAGTCTATGTAGATCCTGCGGTCTCCCCAGGTGTTCAGTCTGACCAGGTTGTACCGCCTCAACGCTTCGTGTCTCGCCTCGCGGTTGACTGAAAGGAGCGTCGGGTTAGGCGCGTGCGTCGCCGTGAGCGTCCGCGGCTCCATGGCGAGGTTCCAGGTCTTGAGGCGGAGCTCGGGGGGCAGCCTTGAGAAAGGGGCGAAGGAGTGCTCCGGCCCGCGGACTTGCAGGCGAAGAGAGTCGAGGTGGTTTGCGATGGCGGCCGATTTGCGCCGGGCTCCTGTTGTGAGGACGTCGACCACGGTGTGGGCGAAGTGTGCGACGAAGACGAGGGGGATGAGAGGGAGCGGCATCTCGGTCTTCTGGCAAGCCATTGCTTCGGCCTTGAGTTTGTGGGAGAATGTGGAAGACATCGTGAAGGTTCTTTTTTTTCTCTTCGAGAAAGGATCTAACAATCAGAAGTATAGGAGTAGGATGAGAGACTCGTAGGTAGCCTCAAAGCGGAACTGCTCCGAAGGTAGCTTGTAAGTGGGAGTAGACGCGGTTGGTGGGCAACGCCGTGTGATGATCTCCGTTTTCTCTGCTTGGTTCCACTTAAGAGAAGAAAAAGCAGGAGCCGTCGGCTTCAGAAACTTCGCAGTCGGGGCAACGAAGACTTTTTAGTATTCTGCCGATGGTTCGATGAGGTGATTCGGCGAGTACAAGCGCCGAGTTGTTCTCGATGTGGCTGGCGACCCGAGGAGACGGTCCTGCCGGCGCGAGCGGGACGAAGACCAAACGTCCAGGCCTTTGCAGATTCAGGTCTAGATGGGGCCTCCCTCTCAACTGTTGAAAGGGCAACGCGATCCGATTCGGAAAGAAATCGTCAGCACGCACGCCACGGCGGTTCTAGTACGGAGGTTTCTCTTTGTCCTCGGTGTTGAAAGACGTCGGCGCGAAGTCGGAGACGGTGCAGATCGGGAGCAACTTTTTTTTTTATCCCCGACACTCTCTGGTTATGGTAGATTTGGAAGACACCTGGAGATCGGGGCGAGCTGAACCTTGGACTTTTTGTATGATGTCGGCGATGGCGGCGTTGCAGTGTCTCACTATGCCGTCTCGTCGATTTCCGTCCCGTGGAAGGGCCTATGATTCAAACCATCGTGGGAGGCTGGGGCGGTCTTTGATAGATATCAAGGCTTGCTGAGTACTCTGGAAGGTTGCGCATCTAGCGCCGGATGTGTTTCCCTTGTCCCAGTCGGTCCTTGGCATGAAAATTCATCAGGAATGCGACGACTTTCCGCTGTAAACGCGGCAGATCGGCTTTTTGAGGCTCGATGCCCACACCCCACCCAGGCAGACTGCTGTGCATCGCTGCCATGGAATTGTAGCGGCCGCTCGTTTTCTCGATATAATTACCAGTTAGACGTCAGGGTGTCTGAGACAGCGGGGTGTCGACGTTACGGATGACTGATGTCAGGGGGTCGGAACCTGCATAATCAAGGAAACGGGAATGGATGGCTGGGAGTGGACGTTGGTTTCTAATAGGCCATCGAACGCCTAGATCCCTATGAACCGAGACAAGCCTGGCATCATGGCCATGCCAACCTGACAGCCATGCGAACGACGTCCTGATATATCGGGGCGAGTGAGACATCGGCTTTGCGTGATCTTGACGTCGAGACATTCTGAGGACCGAGGGGCACATGGTTTTCTCATGTCTTTCTTTCCAGCCCCCACGGATAAATCGCTTCACGTGAGTTGGAAGATGGCCTTCAGCTGGAATGGCGAGGTTTCTTGCGTTTTCTTGGTCTGATCAGGGACACTAGGGTCTAGAGTTTCGACAAGCTTGACCGTCATCGAATCGAAATGACGAGCCACGGCAATGAACCGGTACAACATTTCGCTTACAATTCTTTCCGGGCGAAATCGAAGCCCCGAAAGTATACTCAAACGTCTCTGCGGAGAGTATTTTGAAATCTGACAAGCGTCTTGGCTCGCATATGACCTCACTTCACATTGTGCTTCCAGCTGGTTGGGTCGCTTACGCCGCGAAGAAATATGCTGCTTACTTTTGTACTGGTGGTCGCTGAACTACCTTGTCTCAAGTCTCCTGTGTGTTTCTAGTCTCTGGAGCTTCCTTGTTGAAGTTCTGTTTGATGAAATTACAAAGAGGCAGCTGTAGAACCGCATGAATCCGTGCGAGCTTGTCTTAATTTGTTGAAGGGTGGTTAAACTTGCTGCCTTCTCAGCAGCAAACAAGAAACCGTTTGTACAGGAATGAACCTTGCTTAGCAAGACATCAAGTTAATGAGAAAGAGTGATTGTAGTTCTTCTTTGGCCGTAGAGCATATTTTGTGACTACTGAAGAAGTACTCTGAGATTGGATCGTGATTGCCCTCGTGCTCTTTCTGGCTGTGCTTTCCTACGCCGACCTCATTTCAGTGTTACTGGGATGAGAAGTCAAAACAGAGAGGTGGAAAGCCCATCTATCAATCACACGTTCTGTCTTTTAACCCCATCGACACAACAGCAATGTCGATTTCTAAGGCACCCATTAATCAATAATCGACAGCTGCCAGGGAAACACCTCAGCCTTCTTCAAACTCACTGTTCATTCTCGAGGGTACCGAAGATATCCATTCGCCCGCCAACCTGGGAAGGCCCCATCCGAGAATATTTTCAATCCGCTCGGTTCCCTGAGAATACCAATAAGACAAATTTTCTTCCACAAAGTGTGTAGCTTCCTACCTCCTTCACAACTCGCACGCACCGGTTGCTCTTGCCTTCTAAACATCGGCAGGTGCCTACCGCAGAAAGCAGCGCTGCTCTGATTCCATTCCTCAGGTGAGCTCTGCCTTCCTAAACTTCTTCTCCTGCCTGCCTCGAATATTCGTCACTTTAGGCCTCACCGCATCAAAACGCTCCTGTCCTCTTCCTCCCATAACTTCTCCCTTCCAACACAAATAATCCGCGTCACTGGGCATCTACTCAGAGAATTTTCAAGATCGGAATTTTACTCTTCACCACAGCCAGGTTTACTTCACTTCCAGAAACTTGCCACCAGGCAACTGTTCTTCTCCAACTGCGTTACCGCGGAGCCACCTGCCCCTCGATTTTGACACCCATTCTCGATCTTCACATCGTCTCAAGATTCACCATCACCAACGACGCACACCCACCGGCTTTCTCGTCAACCTCCTGATTGCCCAAGATGTCTGTCAGCAGTGCCTCGATCAGATCCGTATCCCAGGCAGCCACAATCGGTGGCACGAAGCAGAAGCTCAAGGTACCGCCTCACAAGGCGATCTTGTGCCGTACTTGCAATGAGCTCTTCGACGACGAGGCGTCCCTGATCAAGCATAAGCTGTGGGCTATGCAAATTCGAGGCACCCACGCCCACTGCACCGTCTGTGCCATGGAGTTCAGGACCATGGACGCCCAGAAACAGCACATGATCGAGGTAAGCCCAACCCCAAAAGACCAACAGCACTTCTCCTACGGAAGGTGTTGCGGCCACCAAGAAGTCGATGTTGTTGAAGTGCCGACTAATGTGAAACCATAGTCCCACCCTCATGAGCAGAACATCATTTGCCCCGGATGTGGCAGTCGCTTCACACGTCTGGCCGGATTCATGAAGCACTTGGAGCACGACGAGTGCCCTGAGATCCGCCGTTCAGACGTGGACAGAAACAGAGCCGAGAAGCTCACTTTCGCTCATGAGCTCGAGAAGCGGAGCGGTTCGCAGTTCGGCGACTATTTCCCGAGGCTTCATCCGAGTGTTCAACAGTCGGCTATGAGCAACATCTCCAAGCCGCAGATGGCACACCCGTCTTTCTTCAGACCCGAAGATTTCCCTGCGATTCAGGAGGCCGGCGGAGCCTCTACCCAGGGAAGCTCTACCCAAGGAAGCTCCGCTCAAGAGGGCTCTGTTGCTTCGACGAACATTACGGCCCCAAGTACTCCGAATACAGAGAGTCTGGGAGGTTCCCAAGGAGCCTCGAAGGTCCAAGATGTTCACAACCCTCAGCTCCCCAACTTCGACGTCATGAAGTACCACAACCCGTACACTCGCAAGTTCAAGTGCCCCCATGGATCTTGCACGTAAGAAATTTGCTCTTGCTGCATACCGCGAGGTACATACTGACGAGAAACAGGAAGAACTTCGGTTCCGCAGCCACGTTGATCAGCCACCTCAAGGCCGGTTCGCACAACATTACGAAGCTCCAGTGCCCCGGTTGCCTGCGATGGTTCAAAGATGCGTCTTCCTTGACTGCTCACTCCGAGTCGGAGACGAACCGCTGCAAAATCCGGTACTCGGAGAACTACCGGGTCTACCTTGACCAGCTCACTGGAGGCATGGCTGACGTGGTCGGCAAAAATGAGGACAATACCATCCGGTACGAAGTCAGTACTGAGGCCATCATCAAATTTGGTCCTCAGCAGGCTAAGAAAGCCACGGAGGATCTCATGGCGAAGCAGGAAGCAGAGCGTCAAGAGCTTCGGGTGCGAAACCCAGTCTGGTGATTGGAGGGA